GTCATTCTTCAACACAGCCATCATCTTCATCACTGTCATCACTATCGTCAATCTTTTCTGGTTCCGGAACATCCTTTGCGTCCTGTAAATACTCGGTCCAGTCATTTATATGACAGAAAGGTTGCGCTAGATGTCTTGCATAACCCAGATACCACATGACTGAGGTTATGTGAGCGCACATACCTACTACCCTGGACCCGGTTCTACACTGGCAGTACCATGAAAGTACTCGACATTCATCATACATTATCCACAATAAGTATGATTTTGACGTAATATGTCGACTCTGAAGCTTTGCACATAATAGTTGTGAATCTTGTTTACAAATCATCACTTCAAATTCCGACTTGTCATTGAAATGTTCTTGGGCATATGATTTGGCAAGTTGAACTTGGTATACGCCGATTGCTAATGATCGTAATTCTTCTTCTGTCATGGACGGAAAATTGATGTCAGTGGAATCTAGTCTTCTCCACACTCCCCTTACTTTGTTAAGCTTCTCCTTTTCAATTCTTACTTGCAGTTCATTGTTTTGTTTCGCCAGATACAACATTTTGCAGCCGATCGCCTCGTCATCGTCGCTGTTTCCACTGCTCAGTGCAGGTAAATACTTGTTACATATTGCTGCAACAATAGATATGTCATCTCCGACAAAAGGGATCAAACTATTTGGCAGAACTTTATCGAAATATTTCCATGACTTTAGCCTTGCGTTCGCCGTTTTTCCACAACCCATCTTATTTTTGTGACGAGCCTTGATGTGTTACTTTGTTCTGTTGCTAACTGTCTTTGGCCTTTTGTTAAGAATGCTGGCATTTCACTTCTTATATCAACTTCGTCGAGAAAGTCAACTGAATCTCGAAACCCTCTATCGACCACAAAAACGTCACCTTCTTTTAGCCAACTCTTAATTTCCTCGGTGTCATGTGCAAACGCATGTTTCAGAATGTTTGAATCATTGTTTTGATAGTCTGAGAGATAAGGACCAAGTATACTGACAAAGTATCCAGTCGTGGTCTCGATCACCATTGGTTTGATCAAAGGTCGATGTTTGTGCAGATTGTAAGAGCGCCGTTGGAATCGAAAATGGGAGCTCAACACAGTATGTATATATATGTCCCATCTAGGACGAGAATGGCGGGATTTTTAAAACCTTGACCAAAGAGTGTTTGAGCCAACGGACGTGTGTGATTGGTAATGACGTCATCCCTCGTTACGTGGTGGAAACCAATATTATGAGGTACAAATGTTTGCAATAGATTTTTTTCTAATTGACTTAATTGCAACTGAGTCTTTGGAAATCTGTAGCAGAGTTGCAAGAACTTTATTTGACATCCCTGTTTTCAGCTTCGTAAGATATATTCCAAGACAGGTGCTTGCACTCCTTACGTGTGTGTCTCTAACAGAGGTTAAATAGGTCAAAAGGTTGGCAAAGGACGCTTTGTCTAGGCCTGTAAGAGTTTTGAAATATACATCTCCGAAAGTGGAATCAAAATCTATTCCTTTTCCCTCTCTTTTTAGTAAAGCTTCACGAATTTTACTTAAGAGATTCATTATGTCACTTCGGTTGAAATCTGTACTTTTCTGAAAGTGGCTCATAAGATTTAGCGCTTCATCAGTAATTGCTCCATCTGTAATGTGTACTGGGCAACACCTTGCTCCATAAGGTATAATTATGTTTTTATACAAAAAGCAATTAAATCGAGTATTTGATGAAACAACAACTAATTTTGGGCCTCGTTTTCTACAAATGCAGCACGTTGAATGACCTCCTCCTGTTGACGAAAGTGGAAGACTTATATTTTTCGGTGAAAATACAGATGGTTCAGAATGGACAACTTTGGATGGTATTTGTGGTTTAATTTTTTGGGCTGAATGCGTATAGTACTGGCGTCTGCATTTACCACACAATACATCGTTTTCATGGATGGTTACCATAAAGTTTTTCTGAAGATACTTTCTTAAATGTTTATTGCCGTCGCCGGATAAAAATCGCCTTTCTGCGGGTTTAGTTCTTTTTTCCACAAAGAATGCAGGGAAAAGATCTTGATTCTGTCATTCTAAATAGAAAAATATTTACAATATTTATTTTATTATTTACATCTTGTGATATGAGAAAAAAAGAATTTTAAGGATACTGTATTTTAACGTACCATGATAAAAAATAAAGCACGCACATTTTTTTTTGGGGGGGGCATTATCATTATTATTTTACAGTAAGCAATAATTATAAAAGAAAAAAATTCTTAGAGTTTAGAAAATACCATGTACTTGGGGATATACATTTTTGTTCTGAAGATTGTACTACCGTATAAGTGAAAATTTTAGCGAGACGCAAATTTAGCGATTTCTACCTAAAATCTGGTATTTTATTTTTAGCGAGAAGTAATTTTAGCGATTTTAAAATGCTAACTAAGGAAGCTATTACAAATAGAACAACGTAATCACATATCAAGAATTACTCAGTAAACGTACGAAAGACATTCATGTATGTTTAACAACACCCCCAACATATGTACTAAATAATGTATTGGAGTTCGGAATCTTCCTTTTTTTGCTGGACAGAGTTTTCTAATTTTTATCTTTAACCGGATATTGTCCTCTTGCCTAGGTTTTCAAATGATACTTGTAAATTTACTTTGTCAATGAGTATTTGTGTTCCCAGAATATACGATATACATTACTCGCGTCACTAAAGGAGTAAAAATTCTAAATACGATATTGAAGTTGTTGTGAGCTGTAAATGGTATGCTTGATATTAAACAGTTAATTCTGCGTAATCGTATTTCTCGAGCTTCATATACATGTATATATATATGAATATTCAAACTTTTATAACTGTAAATGAACAAGTCCTATTTCTGGACACAAGAAAAAGTGTCAAATATGTAATTTTCATTTGTGTAACTTGAAACTTAAAGGAATTGATTTTATTGTACTATTCGACGACGGAGGGCTGGGAAAGCTCCATTTATCAGGTGCCTATGCGGGGAATTAGATGGACGAAATGAACTAAGCAAATATTTAAATATTCTACGCCAAAATTAATAATTAAACTAAATATGTAAATTAACCCAATCTCGAAATATATGTTTGGAATATGCCATGGTATAAATAAATAGATCAACCTTTTAGAGTTTGAAATATTGTCTTGTTACCCACCCCCCCTTTCCCCTCCAAGGATCAGTCACCAAATAAACTTATGTATAATTATAATAACAATCACGATAAAATTGTTTACCTTTAGAATTTGTATCTGTTGATTGTTCCCACCTCTCACAACACTGTATGCACCCGCTACATTCTCGTCCTGATGACAAAACGAATGTAAACAATTTGATCCGCCTCTAATCCATCTGTAAAATTATGTGACGTGATTTGTGTTTACATGAAAACTTAATTCATCATTGTCCCACTCTAGTGGGGGTCTATGATGTTGAATTTTAGATATTACTAAATTAGTGCTACATGTGTGATTTTAAGCTTTAAGCTTAAACAAGCAAATTTAAAGAATTATGGTCCACCGCTTTCGGTGTCACTGTGGGTGAGATGTTATTTTTTTTATGGCACTATGTGTCAAATATGAACGCCCTATCATACGTCATTCAGATGTAATCACCAAAGTGTATTTAAAAAATAATAAGTCAATTGTCAAGGTCAAGGGATAAGAAACCATAGCATGCTCGGAAAAATCTTGTCACAGGTAATGCACATGTCAAATATGAAAGCCTTATCTCATATCAATCAAAAGTTATATGGATAAATTATTTTTGAAAATTAGGTCAAACTTCAAGGTGAAGGTCACAAAATCAAAAACCATAATTTAGTAAGAAAGGTCTTGTCACAATCAATATGCAGATTTAATATGAATGCTCTATGTGCTCTCATTCAAAAGTCATTACCAAGGTCAAAGTTTTGAATGGAAGGTTAAACTTCAAACTCAAGGTCATGAGGTCAAAAAATCATATTGTATTTAGAAAGGTCTTGTCACAGATAATACAAATGTTTTATATGAAAGCACGATCTCTTCTCATTTAAATATTATGGCCAATTCAAAGTAATGTTTAAATTTTCTAAAAGTGGTTCAAACTACAAGGTCATGGGGTCAAAAATCAAAGTGTATTTAGAAAGGTCATGGGTGATATACATGTGTAATATGAAAGCCCTATCTCTGCTCATTCAAAAGATATGACCAAGGTTAAAGTTTTTGCGTCGGACGGATAGAACTACAGACTGACTGACTTACAGACTGACAGGCGGACAGATATAGTTCACGAAAGCGGGGGACATTTAAGTTTTTTTCACGGATTTTCATGATATATTTCATACATTTGCCAAATATAATGATAGAATTTATGACAGTTATTTTCACACATAATTTAGGACTAGCATACTAAAACATTTCACTTCACAAAATTCCTCTTACAGCCTGCATTTAAAAATAGAAATCCACACTTAACAATACTGCATACTTCGAAAGAGGAAAAATTTATCTTTTTCTTCTAAAAAAAACCCTTCCGCCACAAAAGATTGTTCTTGAGTAATGTTTTCGGTATGGAATTTAATCACGGAGTCTTAATTGAATAAAGTGTAATTAGCATTTATATATCAGAATCCAAATTTATTGTAAGAACTAAAACATTATGTAAATTTTTTAAATAGAGACCAAGACAGCTGCTGAAAAGCTGAAGAGCGAACCTCGTGAAGCTCAGTCTTAAACTTGCTGAATGAAAGGAATTACATAGATTAACATATCAAAAACTTTCCCGTCGACATAACATCTCAAGTGATGGCGAAAAACCCTCTAATCACGAGGATCTTCATTGAAGATATATGTAGATAACCCCGGATATCTCGAGCTTAAATTCCATAGGACCAAACATTTATTTGAGATATTCCAGATATTCAGGTAAAAATAGCGTGGAAAAACTTAACAATTCAAAGAACAGGTGACATCTTATAATTAGAACTGAAGATTCTAATTGGAATTACTCATAAATTCATTTTACATGAATTACTTTTATGTAATTATGACAACAAAGGAGAGCAATGCTTCTTTGTTCAATAAGTATAAGTGATATCGGATGAGGCAAATTTTCGAAGATTCTGAGAATTGATCCAACGCTGGACAATACATGTACATTGCTACTATGGTAATCCGCCACATATACATTGTCCGAGGAATCCTTCTGCAAACCATACGGATTTTTCAAATTGGGACTGCTATAAGTCCAGACTGTATCACCATTCTCATAATAGATGCTTTTGACAATGTTTTCTTTGGAACAACTGTATATTATAGTAAGCCCACTACGCGTTACAACAACGTATCGTACTCCAGAGGGCGTTTTGTATTCTTTCAGAATATTTCCCTTTGTATCCGTTTTAATAACTGACGTGTCACATGTCACATAAATGAAATCATCAACTACATCAATTCCATAACATTTTCTTCCAACATGGATTGTAAATATTTCTTTAAAATCACCATCTCCCGACACAGCTTTAACACAATTACCAGATACCGATGATAGGTACAAGATGTTGCCTTTCAATTTTATGTCAAAGGTATCCCTGTAACCAAACCTCAGGTCACGTTGAAATTTCAATCCAGTATTGTCAAGAGCATATACAATCAAATCAGTTTTGGAAGAGCTCCAAGTTGTGAATACGACGTTAGCATCATTGAGAAAAACCATTCCTCGTATAGAGTATGCTGTTATTTGTACGTCTTGCCATAACTCTAAATCAAGTGTCTTGGCTTCAATGCTGCTTCTATGGATTATACTCTCTACTGAGTCTAATAACTTAATGCTTGCAAAGTTCGGAATGTTCGTGAGTGTTTTTAATTCAGAGTTTAAAACTGCTTCCATCTTTATATTTACTGAATCTATAGGGTCATTTCTAACACGTTTCAAATGTTGTTGACTTCTTTGGAATTCCATGACAATCTCAACATCTGTTAGAGTTCTAACGTTCTCCAAAGATTGAATACAGAAGCGGGACAGCTGAAGTTTGTCATTTACTGCTTCGGCATTTGTTGTCATTTTTCCTCTACTTTCCTTTGTAAATTTTGCAACTTGATCAAGGCATTTACTCTCAAGATTTTCAATATGCTGAACAAGTTCTTCTTTGAAATTTTGAATATCTTCTGTTATCTTATCAGACATGTCATCTATTTTTGAGATATCTTCATCTTGTTTCGTTTTAGCAACAGAGAGCATATTTTCGGTATCTTTGAAATCGCCCAACAAAGCTTTAACACTATTATTTTGTCTGATTTTTTCTGCTGTTTGTTCAATGGTATCCACACTATCACACTTCCTGTGCTCGGTGGATACACACATGGTGCAACAAGGTGTCTCATGATCATTACAGTAAAGTGTTATGGGTCTGTCCTTATGTACACTGCAGCACTTGACCAATAATCTAAAATATGTGTTGGTTGCAGATTCTTTCAGTTTGTCGTTTAAATCACAAAGTTCGTGATCTCGAAGAGTGCGATTTCTTGTGTGATAATCTGCACAGTTTTCACATAGCGCATCTAAACAAGTCAAACAATACTTTTTAGCTTCTGCGTCCTCTCGTTTGCATGCCTCACAAAGTGTGACAACTTCGGTTTGTTTAGAAGATATCCACAAAATTCGGTTGATTGGGAACTGTTCAGCCAACTCACTTGGCTTTGTAGAAAAACTAGGAGCTACAGCAAATTTTCGACATAAAGGACAATGAAATCCCACAGGCTCCGCCTTACCTTGACAGGCTGTTGTGATATAGGAAGACAAACATTCGTGACAAAATGAGTGTGAACAAGGTAAAACACGCGGATTTTTGAATTGTTCAAAGCAAATTGAACACTTCCAAACTTCATCAGTAAAAGAAACATCCACATTTGTTGAAGATGCCATATTGTAAAGAAAAACCTTTTACATTCCGTGTTGATTTTGGATAGATCTGTTTACTAAGCGCCCAATTTTACAAAATAGGACGATGGAAAATATACACATAATAAAATTTATTAGTAAAAATAATAATTTAAAGAATTATTTTTACCAATCCTATATAAATCTATCAGGGAAATTCAAATAACGACCTCATATCGTGTTCAGAGAAATCTCTATGGTAACGGAATAAAGGGGCAAAGTTATTTTTCTTTGTATCTGGAAAGATTGATTCATTGAATATTGTTTTACGTCCAACTCGATTTTTTTTTTACATATGTAGAGATATCACCATATACATGTACCAATTAAAGGCTTCAGATTTCGACATTCGTACAGGATCAGTTAGTTACATTTGAGGGAAGTGACCACGATCGATTCCCGGTTTTTATAGTTTCATGATATCCGCAAGACTCCCAAGATTCAAATTTGCCGGACACCTGATGATGGTACATTTCCTACATATTACAATGTACCTATTTTCACAATCTCCCGATCTCGCGTTCTACGGACTTGTCTACCGTCACAGTTGTAAAAGTAATGGAAGAAACTGATGTATGACAGGACCGGAATTCGAACCCGGAATCCCTACATTGCCAGTGAGATGATATACCTATTAGGTATCGAGGGATATATCCACAACCCAGAATATAACATTTCTCCAACCTAAAGTTAACCTAAGTTCTTCTATGGCCCTTGTTAAAAATTCAACCTGCATGCCCAGGGGGGATTAACGGCATCAGGATCGATATTTAACAGGAAGGAGAAAATAACTAGCTGATTCCCTTGCACTATCTATCAGGGGCTATAGCAACTGAACTTTACAGGCCAAAATAAACGGCGTTGGAGCTAACGAACAGTATTCAAGATTAATAGTCCATTAAAGAATACAAAACAGGCAGCAGCCAGAGCAAACACGGACCAATCCAGTAAAACATCAGTTGTGGGGTCACTTCCATGCATGACCAATTTCAGAAACATTGTCCAAACTTGTTAAGTTGCCATTTTCTTCGATTGTGCTCTTCTTTACTTCTTTAGGTCGCCTCACCTTTATCTATTTTATAGGTGAGGCGACATTTCACCCTTTATTTGCCACATTGAAATCAAATGAAAAGGGCGATGGGAAAAGTTTGTTTTCTTTTAATTTTGTTATTCAATCTAAAATTAGCTAATAATCACTTTCAAACGACACTCTCTCTTTGTTGAAAAATGAGCACATTATCACAGTGTATTTATTGGATAAGAACGTTACAAAACTATATGTTCATTCCAAATGATAAACGTCAACATTATTTTTTCGTGTAAATCGGTTGAATCTGATTCGTAGAAAAACATTTGTGAAAAGAACTATCATCCGATGAATAATGAAGCCAGTGTAGCAACAGTCGACATTGCTTGACGACGGGTGTTATTAAAAACAATAGTGACTGCGCAGAATTTAATGTTAAGACATTCAGTATAATATCATATATATTACATGTAGCTGCGCCACGGTTGACAATGGGTTTTTCTTTGGTTGAAATAATTTTTAAATGTTACACGACACTATATGCAATATTTTTATACTATTATATACAATTTTTAATATGATACATACAGACTTGTGAATTAATCAGTGAAGTCCTAGGTTTGGATTTATAGACGGTTAATTTTTTTCCTTTTCAGAATGAGCCCTTCCTACCTAAGAATATTGTTATTTCATCGTTAGCAATATAAGGAGGCTGGGGGGGGGGGGGGTCAACAAATTAACTGGTCACCAGATTTAACTTATGATACATTAAGCTGTCAACCATAATTTGGCAAAGAAAAATATCATACAATTTAGTTTTGAAATTTCGTTATATTTTTATATAACTTTGTATGGAGCTCTTCTTCTAAAGGAGGTCAAAATAGTCTGAAAATGGCCACAGCCCCCCAACCCCTTTAAGTTTCATTTTTCTTAATTCCATGGTGATAATTCGGTAGAGAAACATACGTTTATCCTGTGCGCACTTTGACAAAAAGTGATTGTTTTTTAAATATATCAATATTTCTTATTAATATATTAAGAAATTTCATTTTTTAGCTCACCTGAGCCGAAGGCTTAAGTGAGCTTTTCTGATCACATTTTGTCCGTCGTCCGTCCGTCCGTCTCTCCGTCCGTCTGTAAACTTTTCACATTTTCGACTTCTTCTCAAGAACCAATGGGACAATTTTAACCAAACTTGGTACAAAGCATCCATGGGTGAAGGGGAGTTTAAATTATTAAATGAAGGGCCAAGTCCCCTTACAAGGGGAGATAATCAAGCAAAGACAAAAATAGGTTGGGGTCACTAAAAATCTTCTTCTCAAGAACCACTGGGCCAGGAAAGCTGAATCTTATGTGGAAGCATCCTTGGGTAGTGTAGATATTAAATTGTTAAAATCATTTAGGGCGGGGCCACAATAAGGAATCCAAGTTTTACATAGAAATATATAGAACACATCTTTAAAAATCTTCTTCTCAAGAACCACTGGGCCAGGAAAGCTGAAACTTATATGGAAGCATCCTGGGGTAGTGTAGATTCTAAAGTTTTAAAATCATAAAAGGGAAGGGGTTAGTGGGGCATGATAGGTATAGCAAGAGGGGGAATCTGGTAAAGAACTGCATCACCCAAGTTTCTCAGGTGAGCGATGTGGCCCATGGGCCTCTTGTTTTGCTCATTTACACGTTTTATATTCAATTTCGAGTCAAACAAATGTTTAATAGGTCTCGGCATAAGTTTTATTTATTCTAATACAGGTACAAGCAACAAAGCAAAATAAACAAACGTATGAGCAGGGTTTAAGCACTACCACTGACTACCATATAAATATTGTTTAAATATTACAAATAAGCATTTTTAAAAGAACTAAAAGAATTATTGAGGCTAACTTTTATACTTTTTAAAAAAAACATTTGACATGACGACTAAAATTGAATACACTTAACAAAACTTCTAAGTGGTCACTCTATTAAACATATTTTTTTAAAATTACTTAGTTTATAGAATGGTATGATATTTTCAACTTATTACAACAAATGAGTCTTCTCACTAATATTTAAAAGAAAATCAAATATCACCGATGAAAATCAGTGTTCGTGACGAATTTAAAAACCAACAATCTGTACTTTGCGGCACGTGTTTTGTGTAATTAGCATCTTTTTGTGATCATTATCAAATTTTAAAAACTGGTTTCACTAAAAATCACAAAACATTGGCAATATGGATCAACAATTAGGAAAAAAAGCCGTTGGAATGTATCCTTGCACCACGTTTTACTCACTTTTATTTTAGTTTAAAATTGTCCTAGATATTCCTTTTAAAAAATAACAACCAGTAAAAAAATCCATATAAACCCATTTTTCTATAGGCTGTGCGTCATTTTCAAATTAATTAACAAATTATCATACCGTGCTAACGTATGACATTCAATTTGTGTTAAATATATACACAATGATGTCATCACTATTATGCTATCATCACAATTCATCATAGTCAGTGTATACACTCCACAGCCACATTACAAAAATGATCCGTTGTCTTATTATAAAGTGCAGAGTTACATTTTTTACGAGTATCTCATATAAGAAATTTAAACCTACAGGTTTTATTATTTATTTATGCGGCATGATAAAATGAAAACTTTCGAATTCACATGGCTTGGGATATCTTTGACTTTGGAATAACTTATAAAGTCATTTTATGTTAAATACTCTGATGAATATATAACAACAAAGGAGAGCAACGTTTCTTTGTTCAACAAGTATAAAAAAATATAGGATCAGGCAAATCTTCAAAGATTCTGAGAATTGATCCATCACTGGATACTACGTGTACATTGTTACTATTGTAACCGGCCACGTATATGTTGTCGGAGGAGTCTTTTTGCAAACCGTAAGGATATTTCAAATTGGGACTGCTATAAGTCCACACCGTATCCCCATTTTCAGAAATATGCATCTGACAATGTTTTCATCGTAACAACTGTATACAATAAGCCCGTCACGTGCTACAACAACGTATTGTGTTCCACCGGGCGTGGTATATTCTTTGATTTTGTTTCCTTTAGTATCCATTTTAATTACTGACGTTTGACATGCCACATAAATGAAATCGTCGATTACATCAATTCCATAGCATGTTTTACCAACAGGGATTGTACTTATTTCTTTAAAATGACCATCTCCCGACAAAACTTTAACGCAATTTCCAGATTCCGATGATAGGTACAAGATGTTGCCTTTCAATTTTATGTCAAAGGTTTTTCCATACCCAAAGCTTAAATTACGTTGAAATTTCAAGCCAGTATTGTCAAGAGCATATACACTTAGATCGGTTTGGGAAGAGCTGCGAGTTGTGAATACAACGTTAGCATCATCGAGGAAAACCGTTCCTCGAAAATAGTGATTTGCAACTTGTACGTCTTGCAATAATTCCAATTCCAATGTCTTGACATCAATGTTTATTTCTTGGCTAATTTTTTCTACTGAGTCAAATAACTTAATGCTTGCAAAGTTCGAAATTTTCGTGAGTGTTTTTAATTCAGAGTTTAAAACTGCTTCCATCTTGACATTAACCGACTCAATAGAGTCATTTCTTACACGTTTCAATTTTTGTTGACTTCTGTGGACCTCCATGACAATCTCAACATCTGTTAGAGTTTTAAAGTTCTCCAAAGATTTAATGCAGAAGCGGGACAGCTGAAGTTTGTCATTTACTGCTTGAGCATTTTTTGTCATTTTTCCTCTACTTTCCTTTGTAAATTTGGCAACTTGATCAAGGCATTTACTCTCAAGATTTTCAATATGCTGAACAAGTTCTTCTTTGAAATTTTGAACATCTTCTGTTATTTTTTCAGACATTTCGTCTATTTTTGAGATATCTTCATCTTGTTTCGTTTTAGCAGTGGAGAGCATATTTTCAGTATCTTTGAAATCGCCCAACAAAGTTTTAACACTATTATTTTGTCTGAGTTTATCTGCTGTTTGTTCAATGGTACCCACACTATCACACTTCCTATGCTCGGTGCATACACACATGGTGCAACAAGGTGTCTCATGATCATTGCAGTAAAGTGTAATGGGTCTGCCTGTATGTATACTGCAGGAAGTGGCCAATGATCTAAAATATGCGTTGGTAGCAGATTCATTGTCTCTTAATTCACAAAGTTCGTGATCTCGAAGAGTGCGATTTCTTTTGTGATAATCTGCACAGTTTTCACAGAGCACCTCTGAACAAGACAAACAATATTTTTTTGCTTTTTTGTCCTCTTGTTTGCAAGCTTCACAAAGTGTGACATCCTCAGTTTGTTTAGAAAATACCGACAAAATATGATTAATTGGGAACTGGTCAGCCCACTCATTCGGCTTCGTTGATAAACTAGGAGCTGCAGCAAATTCTCGACATAAAGGACAATGAAATCCCAGAGGCTCAGCCTTACCTTGACAGGCGGTTAGGATATAGGACGACAAACATTCGTGACAAAATGAGTGTGAACAAGGTAAAACACGCGGAGTTTTGAATCGTTCAAAGCATATTGAACACTTCCAAACTTCATCAGTATGAGAAACAGTATCTGAATTTGTTGACGTTGCCATTTCAAAGAAGAAAAAACACCCCTCTACCTTCCGGGTTACCTGTAAGCGGTCTCGAGTCAATTCGTGTCTGAAATGTATTGCCGAAAATGTACGAAAAGGAAACATTTCATACAACTTGCATAATAAAATAATAGGAGCTACTGAAGTACCGAATAAGTATAAATATCATACAATTTTTTTTTCAAAAGCCTGGATACCTATAATTTTTACTCCTAAAATGTATGTTGCAGGTAGTTCCATTCGCATTTCTGAAAAATTATTCAATATTCACTAATTTTTCCTATATAATATGATTAACTTTAAAGATGAAGTTTAAGAAACAAAGTGAATAAATACACATAACTTTGAGAATATAGAGACATCTTTGTGACCATTTTCAATAACTCTATGCCTGATTTTCTTATATCGTGCCCAGAGAAATGGCTATGGTGAAAGATTGTTTATCGTTACACATGTTTCGGGAGAGATTGATCGATTGAATATTGTTTTTCATCCCACTCAATTTTTTTTAGTTATGTTAAGACATCACCATATATCGATTAAAGGTTTCAAATTGTGACACATGTAATCAGTGAGCTATATATGAGGGGAGTGACAAGGGATCGTTTCATGATATTCGAACTGAATACTCGCAACTTTCAGACATTTGCGGGGCACCTTGTGGAGGAACATTTCCATGTTACATTTCTACCCCCAGATATCCCGTTTTCGCAGCTACCGCTCTAAAGGCTGGTCTACCGTGAGGTTGTAAAAGTAAAGGGAAAAATGTATGAATGGACCGGTAGTCGAACCTGGAACCCCTGCATTATAATTAAGTGATACATGTATACCAACTTCGCTATCAATGGACATATTCACAACACAGAATACAACTTTTCTTCCCCTTTCAACCCAAGTTTTTCTATATGTCCTAAGCCTCGTTAAAAATTTTACCTGCATGCCCAGGGAGTGATTAACTAGCTGATTCCCTTGCACTATTTATCAGGAACTATACCAAATGAGCTATACAGGACGATGTCAACGTTTTTGATTCGTTAATACAATGAATCAATAGGAGATAACGAACAGTATTCGTGCTCAAAAGTCATTAAAAACAGTACAAATCAGGCAGCAGAGGTGGGATTAAGTGTCATGGTGGAGTGAGCACCCCCTGCCGACCGGTCACAAAAATCGCGGGCAAATTTTACTGCCTTTCATTTCACCGATCGGAAGAGGAGGAAGACAACACAACAGTTTTTGCACAAAATTAAAGATGCCACCCAAAGGAAACAGAGGGAAAAAAGGCAAAAAGCGAGCAATACCATCCCCGGAACCTGAACCTGAACCTGAACCCGAACCCGTTCAACCGGAGGAGACAGGAGCTAAAAAAAAAAGAAAACAGTTACTTCCTTCACTGAAGAACAAAAGGAAGAAATAATTGATTTTTTGATTCAAAATGAGGTCTTGTACAGCAAACGGTTGGCTGGATTTAAAGATGTTGCAAAGAAAGAGGATATCTGGGCTGGGCAGGCAAAAAAGATGAATACTACTGTTGATCAGCTGAAAACATGGTATTCCAGTATGAGAACAATGATGGGTCGGTTAAAGAAGCGCGCAAAGAAAAGTGGATCAGGGTGTGGGACAAGTTCACCTTTCTTATCCCCCACATTGAGACAGTGGAACCACGAAATGTGTGCTCGTTTGCAGCGGCCTCGTCGTGTAGCTCCGAACTTTCATCGTCTACCAAGCAAAGCTCCCCTGATTTGTCCAATTCCAGCAGGGTATCAACATCAGCACCACAGTCAGATACACCAAGAGTCTCTCAGTCAGGATCAGACGGCTGTCTACGAGGAAGAGATGAAAGGGTGTCATCTACTGAAATGAGTACTTATCATTACAATTCATTTAATCTTCATTAAATCTACTTAAAAATTATAAATCTTACATAGAAATTATTATGAATATTAACTTACATAATTCATGTTTCTGTTAACTTTAAAAATTCTAGGAACGTAAGATAGAGATAAAGAGGTTTATTAGAAAAAATTGTTAGCCAGGTATATCAAATTATATTTTTAGAAGAACTACTGGTGGAATTTTTGTCAAGAAGTGCAGCTAGCTGTGGGAGTTCCTACTTTGGAAGATACGTTGATGAAACGCTCTCAAAACTACCTGGAGAAATAAGGAGAGAGGCAGAGATGAATATTATGCAGGAACTGCATAGGGCTCAACGGGCAGGCGAGAACAACCAAAGACAATCACAATCAAGCCAAGGCGAGCAAGCACAGTCAGATTTTTGTTAGCAACAGTTCCAGCAGACACAATGGCAACCTCCACCGTCCCAGTGGCCATTTCGCCCTGTGGGACCGCAGACAAGTGTTTGGGGAAGTCAGGATCGTACCTATGTTCAGCGGCAATTCCCAGCTATTCCAATCACCTGCCCCGTACCACAAACCAGGTCTCAGCTAAGACCAGTAAATTCAACTACCATAACCACAGCTAGCACTGTACCAGTTTCAACAGCCGAACAAGAATCATTCGTTAACCTTCTGTCAACTCAGCTTAACACTCCAGAGGGAGCCCAAGACGATGATGAATCAGGGATATACCACACATAAACAAACCCATTTGACAAAGCAAACCTTTATATTACATTCATCAAAATAATTGAAAATAAATGGCTAAAATTTACATTATTTTTTCATGTTATATTTACACGCTAACCGACGTATATTATATGTAGAAAATCGCTTTTTACATTTTTCTAAGTGCTTAAATATGATAAACTTTGACTAAGAATTTCATACCATGTTCTCAAAACAGTGTTGTATTATATATGCTAAGAATGCTCAACTAAAACATTAACAAATCATATTATACAAAGGATACAGAAAATCTCAATTTAATTTCAACAAAACAGAATTCTTTGTAAATATGATTATGTTTACCCTTTCGTTTTTTGAATTTCAAAACATAACTCTCATATGTAATTTTATGTGCCATGGAGCCCCGCCATTCTTTCCTGCCACTCAACTGCACCTTGTGGAGAGTTGAAAAAATGCTTTAAGAGTTCCCTCTGATACTTTCCCTCTGCTGTAGCTGTGTTACGAGGTGCATTTGCTTGGTCCACATCTGGCCAATCCACTTGGTCTCTCCACGACCCTGGAACGATATCGTGGTTAATATCCTCACGGTCCACTTCTTGAATAATCATACCTGGATGTCTCAGTCTGAGAAGATTGTGCAGAACCACTGTTGCCTCCACTATATCCCTCACAGTGTCAGTCTTCTGTTCTAATGTCCTTAATAGACACCTGAATCTATTAGCTAGAATCCCAAAAGCATTTTCTACAACCCTCCTTCCCCTTGAAATTCTATAATTGTAAATCCTCTCTTCTCTTGACATTTGCCTTCTGCTATATGGTTTCATAAGGTAATTTCGAAGAGCAAATGCATCATCTCCCAGGATGAAGAAAGGCATGTCCTGGAGGTCATCCGGGCTTGAAGTAAGAGGACAGGGTGGAGGTAGTCCTAGGGCGTTCTCTTCCAGACCGTTGAACAATTCCGAGTCACCAAATATCTGCGCATCTGACATATGTCCTTTACCACCAAGTTCGATCCATACAAACTTGTAGCTTGCATCCACCAAAGCAAGAAGTGGAATTGAAAAGAAACCTTTATAATTAAAGTACACACTGCCACTTTGAGGTGGCTTCTTGATTGCAATGTGTTTCCCATCTAGGGCGCCAACAGCATGGGGCACATTCCATCTCTGTTCAAACTGGACAGCTAAGGCTTTCCAGGCTTCAGGGGTCACAGGTAAGCTAAACACTTCGTTTTTGTATGCCTGTACAATTGCCTGGCACACTTCTGGGACCATTTTAGAGATACTGGACACTCCACAACGAAATGCATACGCAAGTGACCGATAGCTATCTCCAGTTGCAAGATGTCTCAGGGTAACTGCCAGTTTCAATGCAGGCGAAAGAGATTGCCTAAAACTAGTGTTTACCATCTGAATATCCGGGGTTATCCTCTGCAAGACTTCATCAAATAACTCTGGAGTTAACCTTGTATAATTTTGGAATGCTGCTGGATCCTCAAGCCTCAAGTGACTGTCCAGAAGATTAGAATAGTGGCCAAACTGTTGTCTTCTCTCCTCTGTGGTCCACGGTCGCACCCAAAAGCGTCTGAGTGCAGCTCTTCTAACCCTTCTTTGGCGGAGTTGTACAATCTCTATCTGCTGCCCTTCCTCCTCTTCGATAGCAATTACAAAATAACATAGCAGTACTGCAAACATCACATTGTCATCAACTTCGGCCATTTTTATTGATTGTGTATGTTTTTATTGTGCTCACTTTTTTCATGGATAGAAAATAATGGACTCAATATAGACAGATTATTAAAACTTATATCTGTCGGGGTACAATCGTAGCTCAAAGCGTGTTTCATTTTGATCCTGATCGTGAAAGACATTGCAAGGAACGTGTTGTTCTATCGCAGAGTAGCGCAAGGGGTCGTGGTGAACGTATTTTATCATATGGGCACGTATTTCAACGTAGAAGATCGTTTCAAATCCGGGACTCGGATCGTGATATTCGCAACAGTTCGAGGCCCGTTTGTCAATTAAATCCTGATAATCCTATTTGAACGTAATTCATCTTATCTGAACGGTAGTCGGATCGTATGAGATCGCATCACATGAAATTTATCCATCGTGACCATTTCGCATAAAAGCGTAACAAATCGTATAAAAACGCACCTATGCGCATCTCTTCGTATTTGGGCATAAAATTCAATAAAAATTCTGCGATTAACTACGATTGGTCAATCGTGGCGTTCGCAACTGACCGCGCGACAGTGGGAACGTAGCATTACTAGCTTCTGTCATAATCGGGAAATAACAGAAAAATCCATCGACGATTTAGTGGGTAAATAATGGTCATACAATACATTGAATTCCATCAAAAAGAAAAATAATTCTTGAGCAAAACGATAGTTACTAAAGAGTAAAGAAGCTCCCTGGTGTCATGATCAAAACATTTCTTATAGGATCCATGATCTTTCTTCCAAACACGCTTATGATTAAATATAACTCATTCTTCTAGTATATCTGTTGAGTCTTCTATACATTTTGAACATAAACAAATTGAAAAATACAACGTGTAATATATGAGTCAAAAATATTAAATAGTTCTCGTCATGGCTTTTATTATAATTTTAAATACGTTCATTGTACAAATAAAAAAGCAACAAAAATCCAACATATTTTAGCAGCTTTTGAAGCACCAATAGGCACAACTGTTGTTAAAATATTACAAATAAGCATTTTGCAAACATTTCTTTAAAAATGTACTGCATATCTAAAAGAATAAACATGACTTAAATTAGAACTTAAAAAACCATTTTTAAACTAATTACATGTACCTTTATTTAACATAGAGTCTTAAAATAAAATAAAAACGGGCCTGTAATTTTGAAATTTGTTCATTCACTGCACTGTATACATCATATATAAACCAAATTAATCTGTTTGCAAAATTTATTAGGAATCAAGCAATATTGAAATATTATAAACATAAGCAGCACTCATGCAATATCAATTCTAAAAATCATACTAAACATATTTTATCCACAAAAACAAAATGAAAATCAACATAACAATATAAAAACGAATAACAAAATAATCAAAACTCGGTATTTATATTTTGTAATGTTAATGATCGATTTCAATTTTACTTTCGAATACTGCTAGCAGTATGATAACGAGAGCTCCACAGAGGATGCCGATGTTGTGATAGATAAAGGTCCTTACGTTCGTGGAGCCATTCTTTATCAAAGAGGGAAGCTACAAAGAAACAGAGAAACCAGCGTACGTATCTGGAATACATACAATATATATTTCATATTAATTGTATATACTGTAGTGTTTAATATTAAAACCAGTATACCCTCGGTATAACTTAAATTCAAATATAATAGAAATTACACCACATAATACTTAGAAAATTACCATGTCGACTAATGAAATATACAGGAACATTCCCGCTGTAATGGAGAAGATCCAGGGTGTACCTCCCAGGTTGGAGAGTGGGACTCCAATGTAAAAACCAATAAAGGCAGTCAGGGAGGAGAAAAGGTTGGCGATCAGAGCTTTCTTAAACGTCAGTCCTTCGCTAATCAATATTGCAAAATCACCTTTAAATTAAAAAAAAAATCAATCTGATTAGAATATTCAGAGATTTTTCCAATTTTGAGAATATTTGTACATTAATTCTTAATGGTATTAAAAAATGAAATATTTCTTGAAAATTTCTTTCCAAGGAATGATAAAGTTTGAACTTTTATATAATATTTACGTATAATCTGAATATTGAAAATCTTGCTGGCAAATTAAGATGTTGGGAAAATGATATGTATCTTTTATATGAACAACATTAACTTCCGTAAAGGAGAAAAATTGAATATATTTCCATGCTGTGAGATAAAGAACTGATCAAGGACCGCAGGTCCAAGATTAATTCTTCCTTTCACTAAATGCATTGTTTGCTACATTTCTCCTATATACTTGTTCTGATCAATTAAAATATTTTTAAAAACAAACAAATTCTATTAAATTCAGGTTGGATTACTTCAGGCGATGACAACTTCATTGTGCACTGAATGGAGAGTCATAGGTAAGATAATAGTGTTTCTAAATCATACTCATACATTCATCATCACAAAATCTTGAACTTCATGTACAACACAGAAAATGAGGTTGAAATTTAGAGTGATACTGAGATTAAAAATAAAGAAACACTTAATATTAGCCCCTTTTTTTCAATCAAAATACTGGTAATCAGATTCTGAAATGCTCCATTGAATTCAGGGTGCAATCTATGTAGTACGTGTTCTATTAAATTTAATTAACCTAAAAATAGTTTCCCTCCTGAAAAATACTAGAAATCCAATTTAAACAAAAATACATACTTTTTTCAATTTTAATTAGGTTTGAAGAAAATATTCATTACAACAGCTCGGTGCTACTGCTCATCTGCGTCATGTATGTTTAACTTTCTATAGTATTTTTTATAAATTAAAATTCAATCCGAAAACAAGATTTTCTTTCTGAATAAGAGCTGTTTGAGAATTTAGAAAGTCAGAGCACAAGATAGAACAATTTACATTTTCTACTTTTTTACGTCTTTAATTCAATAGCTTTTCCCCTTTGGTATATCCCAATCTATATCTGTAACTCTCCATTCTGTTTTAACCTATCATTCTTTTTGAAAAATTGTCAACTTCCTTAATAAAAAAAAAGAACAGTAGATTTATTAGTTTTCCAAAAAGGAATGGATAGTTACAGATAATTTAATTCATGGATAATTTTAGGAATAAGGACAACAATAAGATAACGAATGGACAACACAAACAAAATGTTTACACCACAGTCAATGTTTTAATTGCAAGAAATATTTTGTGTACCTAATTCCTGAGGAAGTTCGTGACAGAAGATTGCAATAGTGATGGCTATTCCTTCTAGTATGCTAGCCGAGAATGAAGCAGCAATGGCCAACCCGTCAGTGAAGTTATGAAGGGCATCACCGATGACGATCATCACCACCAGGGGTGAAATAGCTGACAAAGAGAGACAGGTATTAGTTAAGTATACTAAAGAAATGTTTTGAGAAGAATAATAATTTGAGATGTTTCAGACAGACAGCTTTGATTCTTTGTGAATATCATATTTCTTGAAGTAATTATTTGGTTCTGTTTTGAATTTGCCATTTCCTCTCCATGACTTTTAAAGGTATTACTAATATTACTAATATAACTGAACCAAATGATAATACCCCCCGATATTGAAGAATTCGTGGTTTACTAATTACTTAAATTTCGCTAAATAATTTCGGTAAATATGGGTATCACGAAATGTCCTATTGATGCCAAATCGCAGTATCATGAATTCGCGAGTGAACTGCTGAGGAAATATTGCATTAACATGAAACAAAAAACAGTAATTTTAATTTGCTAGTAGTACTTTTTTGCGAAATTACATGATTAATGGAATTTTCTTACAGAGAAAGTCTGGAGTTTTATTTTGCAATTATTCATCAAGAAACTGAATTGTAACAGAATAATGAAATTCACATAAAACTGAATTATTTAAAATTCGCGTAAATATTCCTTGACTAATTTCAAATTCTTATTCTAACAATAACATACACGTATTTCATCATAACCAACTGGTCTTCTTGTACATACATGTATATCGAGCTTATATATTAATGTTCTGTGAATTTATTACAGTATATGTATTTTCTCTTCGTGAAAGTAAAACATCTGATATCTTAAGAAGATTCACCTTTCCTGCCTCTTGAGGTCCTTTGTTCTTCCACCTGAAATTTTAAATAAAATCATAGATGCGTTGCATGCATAAATGATTCCTTAGAAAGTGAAACTCGAATAGTCGGACGATGAGAAACAATTAATTCATATACACAATACTTGTAAAATTCGTTTGTTGGAAGAACAAATGCTTAAATCTTTTTACATGTACCTCTTTTTCCTTAATTATAGCTTCTACAGCTTGGTTATTATAGGCTGTAAGTGTTACAGAAATTTGTTCCACTTGTGTTTTCTGAAATACAAATATTGTTCAGGTTAACACAATAATTTACAAAGGACAAATTATACATGCATGTATTCAAGAAATATAGAAATCTATGTCGATATCATTAAAATTGTTATTATTTGGAAGAATACCTTTTTAAAAAAATATTTAACACAAGAAATTATCACACTTCGTTTGGAGAAATTAAGAAATCTTTTCCGATAGCATATAATAAATTGTACAAAAACATGAAAAAATAGTTTTACAACACTAGCTTACATCTGTAGCTTTGGAGTAGTGAAAGGTTCATCCTCCATGCAAATAATTTTCATCTACCATTTGTCCATCCTTTGACTTAATTTTACATTCACTTTGATATTTTATGCAATTTTTTGCATCGTTATAATTTTACTTTCCCCTTTATTAGTAAATCAGTAGTGAACGTTTTATTAGTAAATCAGTAGTGAACGTTTATGGCGGCAAGCCTGGAGTTTATTTAACTTTTATAAACTTTTCAATATTTCAAAGAAGGAAGAAAAAAATCAACCTTTAACGTAACGTGGTTTTGAAACAAATGATACATTACATCTAGATATAATGAATGAATAAAGAAATAACATTTCAACAAATATTTTTATACTCTTTCTCAAAACAAGCACTTTACTGAAATATGAAACTTAAGATTATTTATTTTATGAAAGCAGGTTATTGTTAAAAATGCATCTGAACAAAAATAAGTGCCTATAAGTAACGCCATAGCAACGTCGGTACCACTGTACCATTCTTGCCATGCCATGAAAGGCAAGACCCAACATTGAGTTTATCTTTACGGTTTAAAAAGCGAACTTTACATAAATAAATGAAAATTTAAGGTAAAAAGTAAGATAAACAGTGAATTAGTTTGTAAAATTTTATTGAAAATGTTAGACAGATAAAGATCTTATTGGTTGTTGTGACATTACGTTTGTATCAACCTTCATATCTCTAGCTTGTTTAACGAATCCACACAAAGGTAAATAATCCTATAATAGATCACCATTTCATCCATCAATTTTTTTTATCATGAAACTAAGAGTTTTTGCCATTCTGGGATTCCATGTTCGGGTCCCCTTGTATAAATTATGTTTGCTTTTACCTTTGAATTTCCTGTCGTTTAATATATTCTTGATTTATTACAACTACAAAAAATGAAAAAGGCGCCCACACCCCTCAACTGGAATTCTTTCTCACTCCCTGATGGATGATTGGGGATGAAACAAGTGAGTGATGAGATTTCGTAGATGTGGTTCAGAGTATACTTTAGAATAATCTTTTATGTTACAGTTTAAACTGAAATTTTCTGATTCAAAAACACGCTTGACTTTCAATTTATCTTTTACCATCAAAGTCTTACCCTTTGCACGTGTACCATTGCCATTTCAACAAGGTAAAAAATATATGCACCTGAAAGATAAGAAAAACATACGGTAATTATCATTTTCGCATTTTTTAACTCACAAGAAAATTACTACGGTATATTACTTCATGCATCTACAAATATATTTATTTTGTACTGGAGACGATCAATATTATGAACACCTAAAGATACATTTGTGCTGAATCCATAAGCCAATATATATTTTGACCCCTGTAATCTTGTATGTAAGTGGAGGATATTTATCATGGTTTCTTTTCATCCAAAAAATATAAAGAAGCCTTAAAAAGTTTTCCTAAATTAATTTCTGCAAACGACATACGGGCTGTCTATAGTCACAGATATATCTGCTGCAGAGAATGAATACCTGAACATTTATTTAAAAAAAAGATGTTATTTTGATTGATGCAGAATTTATTGTTAATAATTCTTCAATTTATGTGCAATGCAATTTTATTATTATACGAACAGAAATAAATCATCCAATGATAATTGCGATACTAGTATAATTTTCAAATAACTATAAACTGTGACCTATATACGACGTAATTTTAGATCTTTTATCCAGATCAAATCAATTACTGTAAATGTATTACATTTGGCGGGTATGATATTTGGCAGAAATTCAATTTTTAACAACTTAGCGTAGATTTAATTTAGCGCTATCTGGATGTGGTAGTTGTAAATGTATGATATACAAGACATTTAGCGATGTACTTGTATTAGCGGACTCTGCTTTCCACCAAAATTGCTGAATAGAATACACCGCTAAATGTAATATGTTTACAGTATATTTCACGAAGAACACTATTTTTTGATTTCCAAACTCTCACCAAGAAGGAGGACCATGCAGTACCAGATGTATGGTTCTATGTGTAAATGCTCTGTCTGTATATGGACGGCGTCATGATCAGCTTCTTCCGGGAGATGATGATGATTATGGTTGCCATGGGGATGTGTGTCAACATTCTGGTGAGTGTCTCTCTTCCGGTGATGATGATGACCATGTGACGGAGAATGAGTTTCGTTGGATGAAGATTTTGGACCGTGATCGTGGAGGCCAAGGGCCTTATGTAAAAGATGATTGATAAATGCTTACATCATATAATGTACATCTTTTATATATGGTTTATATCAAGTTGATATAATTTATGAGTCAATTCCCTCTACAACAAACTGGGAACAGACTTGGGACATTTTTTTGTATAATGAAACAAATATAACTTTTATCATAGTCAAGAAAACAAAACCAACATTTTATTTTGTGATTGAAATTAAATATTTTCGAACATGACTTATTTCATACATGTTTAATGATATTAATTTGAATATTACTAATCTTAATTATCACTAAATCCGATACTGAATATTACTAATCTTAATTATCACTTTCTGGTCTTGCAGCTAGGTCACAAAATCTTTACCAATTTTGTAAAAGTTTTCAAATATATTGATATCGAAAAGTAAGACAAAACCTCTTAATGATAATCGCTGGAGTTAACTTATTTATATAATAAATCGTTTTATGAGAGATGTGAATCTAAATAATAATAATGACAGTATCCATTAAATATCAATTGGATTCATTACCAAAATTAATTAAACATAATTATTCAAATAAGAAACCTATAGAAGAATCATGGGATCTTGTCACGATTCAATTTTAAATTACTATAATAATAATATCTATGCCAAGTAAAACAATTTATAAACAAGTTGATTGATAGAAATCTATATATCAATTTGACATTATTTATGTGAGTAAATAACAAACTTAAGTTTAAAAAAATACCGAATATGATTTAACAACGTTTATTTGATTTGTATGCATTTGTGAATCTTGAAACAGAGAATGAATATGCCCATATACCTTATTGGTAATTATAAATATAAGCAATTGAAAACGGAGAATATGTGCTTTCATTTTGGAATAAATTTAATACGTATAAAAAAAGAAAAAAGGTATTTTTAAGACTGACTAATAGAAAAAGCATTTCAAATTGAGATTTAATTTATAGTTTTGGAGAAAATGACATGTAATTACTCAGCTATTAATATATACACACACTACTGCAACACATTAAAAAGGTTGAAATAAGAATGCTTTTTAAAATAATTTATCTTAGGGATTCCATTTCTCTAAGTAGATCATCCAAGTCCTGGTAAATATTTTTGGATTCATTTAAAAGAAAATATTCGTCCAATTTTACATTCGCAAAATTTAATATATATTCGAGTCCAACATATAATGTGATATCCTTGTATACGTAAACATATAAATGTGATATCCTTGTATTTTCAAACAAACAAACAAACAAATAAGAACAAAACCAAAATAAACCCCAAAACATTTGAGCAGAAATAAAATTTGTTTTATTTTTTTTAATTTTAATTTTTTAAAATTACAAATCCATATAAAAAAAGAGTAATATAGTGTTTTTGCTTCGTCGTTTTCGACAATATATTTTACAATTATTAAGCAACAAAACAATAATTTTCATGTTTCCAGAAAATGCCCTGTGCGCTCTATGAATATAAATGTGCTATCATGTCCTTTCTGTGTCCTTGCGTGACCTTATACTGCGTACTTTAGACTCATAAAGCTAAGATTGATTATTCTGACCCAGATTTAGCAGATGTTTAAAGTAACAACACAGTATACATACACGTATGATACACGACATATATTTATTTTCACTATAAAAACTTTCGTTTTTCTGAAGCTGTCTTAAATTAAAGTTTTAAGCAGCAATTTCTTTAAGGTGTACTTTACTGTAATTTTTCTCCCTTTCCCTTAGTATTTTAGAAAGTCAAAACGTAGTACTTTACTGTAAAATTGTCTTGATATTTTTTTTTTATTATAACATTTTTTTTTCACCCTTTGATAAACAATTTGTACAATTCTCTAGAATTTACATAATAAAAAATCCACTTCCACACAAAGAGAAAAACAAAATAGTAAAATTATTCTATTTGTACAGATTGAAAATAAAAGATTGATTGATTGTATATTGTTTAACGTCTCAGCTTGATTTCAGTCTGATAAACATCCCTGTTTTCTAATTCTCTAAATTGTAATATCAATTATTATCTGTCAAAGCACACAGTTACTGGATGACCAGACTTTTTGAAATGAATGTGATATAAAGTAACATGTATCAAGATTGATTTGCTTTTGTATGCCTTGTAATATGATTTTTTTTAAACAATCAGCATGTACCAGTTAAAGATTATTTAATGAATTTGGTGTGATTTTGTGGCAAAAGTAATCTCTGTAATAATGATTTTGTTTTAATACTTTAATCTTTGAGCTTTTGCAATGATATTTTATACCACAGCTCCCTATGATTTAAGGTAGGATTCTTCTCATATTTCTAATATTAAAAATTAATGAAATTTTGGTGTGGTCAGGTCAAGGTCATTACCTTTTTCCTTGACATTAAGAATAAAAAATAAACTGTTGCCAATCATGTGATACCTACTTCTATTTCAAAAGTTTAATGATTGTTCTTTTTGCATAAAAACATATAACTATATCTACAGCATGATATTACCACATTTAAATAAATAATTTCACTTAATATATATTAAAATTTTCTCTGTTTTTCTGATATATTAGTTATTTTCATATGCTCCTATATTTCTTTTTTATTTTAATTAACTTATAAATGTAATTTAAAAATTGTCCTAAGAGAGAAAAAAATACTTTTTATGGATGCAAAGCATTCTGTTTTTTTGCAAAATCATATTTATTTGATAGATTTTCTGTTTTAATACTTTGAAAATCTTTGATTGTGCTTTATGCAATGATATTTTATACCACAGTTTTTCAGTTTATCATTTCTATGATTTAATGAGGAAAGAAAAAGTGGTCTTTTAAATTCCTTACACCTCAATATATAAGACATATAAGCAAATATACTTTGAATGTTTCATCTAGTCAGAAACCAGAGAAGAATCCTACCTTAATAAGTGGTCTAAGATGAGCTAATTTATACACAGTATTGACGTAATTTACACGTACCTCTGGAACTAAGTGAAGAATGGCGTCACTGGCCAAAGCACCGACAGCCAACCCCATGAAGACAGACAAAACAACATCGTATGCAGTTTTATATTTTTTGGCAAAGGGAATTGTAAAAGCACCGGCCAGAGAACATAGACAGCATATCAGATTAGCGATGGTACCGTACCCATAGACTGAAGAGCAAAATCAAAAACAAAGATGATCATCACATTTTTGAAGCAAATTCAACTTGTTTTTCTTTCCATATACATGTAGATACAAATGATACATGTCAACCCTTTTCCAAATTATACCACTTTCTTTTCCAATTGTTTATTTAAAAAAGAGATAACTTGTCCCAAATTCATAAAGTGTGTGTTAATTAATTTTTTCCAGTTCGAGTTCCTTAATTGTTTATTAATTTTCTAGCAAAGGAAGTCTTGCCAGATATGAGAATAAGAAAAGAAAAAAATAACTCAAAGCGCATATTACAATCCTGGAATAATTTCCCATTTTGCAAATAACAGTTCTTAAATCTGAAAAATAAAACGTCTCGGGTTAGTTGTTACAAACTTAAGAAACGCTAGGGTTTCTCTTACATGTAAAAGCAAATACTTTCTATTATCAAATCAAATGATGAATGACGTTTTCCAAAGTAATTGTTATGCTTTTGTTTGCATACTGAATTGTCGACGGATTTTTTCAGTTATTTACCCAATTCTGCAAGAAGCCACACAGCGGGTGTGATCGGTTGGTAAGGAATGTTCCCTCCTCCATGGCAACTGATCCCACCTCTGATGTTTGAATAGTTCGTATTTTCTCTGCTCCTGATTTGTATTGTTTTATGGACTTTTGATCTTAAATAATATTCGTTATCTCCATTATTTCATTGAAAAGGAAATCTAAGTAGATGACAATTGGTAAATTAAGGATCTCCCGTTTTTTGTGATTGTATGAGATTTTTATAATATGATTTGTGTGTTCAGCAAAGGAAAGAAAACACAAAGCAAGTGGATAAAAATCATATCCAACCATAAGCCATGGAGGATATTGTGGAATCATTTTAAATCTTGGGGGTTAATGTTTATGGGCAAGTAAATTTTTCTGGTTCGTGGGGACATAATTTCGGAGGTTACTCGTAAAGAATAAATACGGTTACAAAATAATTATTCCTGGGGATGCAATTTCCTGAAAAAGTGTGACCCATGGAATTCATGCACACTGGTTCCCAGAAAGCATTAAGCAAAACTTGAAAAAAAAAAAATCAAATTATTAAGCCTACATGACATTTCTTTTTGTTACTTTATGAAACAATTTCTTCAACTGTTTTGAGTTCATAACTGTTGAATTTATTAATAAGAACAGATGACATAACCAAACTTTTAATGAAAATTATTTTTAAAAACTCAGGTCTTGTTTATAAGAAAAATGAATTAGTATCTTTTCTAAGCTTCACAAATATGAATTAAAACGACAAAAAGTTGCTTTAATTTATAAGAATAAATCTGAATAATAAACTTCAGAGAGGTAGAACTTTAAACATCATACCAAAAAGTTTAAAATACCTTAGTTTTTAGAAATTTCAAATTGGCAGCTTTTACAACTAAATTAAGTTAAAAAAATATCTACCAATCCAGGCCTCCATGTTTTGTTTGAATCAGCTGTTCCTCTAATGTACACTGTATTTTTTTGTTGTGTTTTAAGATCATGTCACGTACATGCATGTGTTCTTGACTATCTGCACCTGTGTTCTGTTGGACTTCTCATTAACATAATTGTAAAAATTATAAATAAAAATGCTATTACCTTCTGCTTGGGTTGTCATTTTTATGACGTCACTGTAGATTATTCAAACTGTCGTGGGCTGGCAATCATCTGTATAAAGTAAAAAAAGCACAAACTAGTGAAATGTAAACAATTTATTCAATATCATGAAGAAAGTTGATATTTTATATATAAAAATTAAACAGTTTTCAACCGGTGCATTTATCAAAATTTGATTTTCCTTCTTTAATTAAACAATATCGTAAAGATGATTGTTACTTTATATCTTTTTAATCAAATAATATTCAACCAATTTTTATATGATTTTACTTATATAATTTAAAGTGGATATAAACATTTAAGTACTTTGCTTCTATTCTATTCCTTTTAATTAAAGAAAATGCAGAGCAACTGAGCATCAATATATATAAAAATGTAGATAAGGAAACATTTGTTTTATTTCTTTTCTGTTTGTTTGTTCCTTAATCAACGTTTGCATTGTTTAATAGCACGTACTTAAATGTTAATCAGCTTAAAAAATAATCAAAACTGCAATAAAATGAATTACGCATGACGAATATCCTGTGCATAAGAAATCTTCATAAAGAATGACTGATGTCTGAACAGAGTTTATATTGCTAAACTGTTAACTAAGTCATTATGCATCGTCGTATAAACTTTATACAGGAGTACATTATGTACGTGTATTCTCACCACAATACAAATATTTACTAATATATCCCCCAGCACCCCCCTCGTTCCGTCGAATAGCTATATATGTGTAATTATTATTTGATGAGGTATGAGAAACATAAAGACATGGGGATTTTGTAGCAAATGTGAATATTCAATCGTCAAAAAATTTAATCCTCTTTTTTTTACTTTTCATAACAGAAGCGTCAGTCACGTACACAACGAAATTTATTTTTAAAAATTCGGCGAAGGGTTTTTTTTTTTTCGCAATTGGATGATACAATAAAAAACAATTGTCATGTTTTTTTTTCAATTACTAGTAGCTGTATACAAATTAATGATGCGTCTCGGCCAATGAGCTATCACATCATTACCTATCTCATATTTTTTTTTCAAAATCTACGCAAGTTTTAAACACAAAGTTTTATACTGCATTCTATGACATAATTTCTCTACGAATAAAAGTCCCCATTTCGTCCTTGGTTCGTTGACAGCTGAACATTATAAAGCAATCTCCAGGTCGCTATGTAGATTTATAGTCAGGTCCCTTGATCTTGGACCAACTGACAAGTGTGCTTTTATCTTCTTATATTCTGAAGGGATTTTGTCAGTGTTAGAATATTAAAACTACTCAAAATAGAGTCAGTCAAGGTTTTCTTCTTTTTATCAACAATTGTTAGAATAATTATGTTGTAAAATTTAATATATATATATATATATATATATATATATATAAAATTTTACAAGAAAAAACAAATATGAAAAAATTAATTGGATATATATACATGTATTAGAAAATTGAAATAATGCCTAGATTTTGCTACCTTTTCTTGCTCTCTCATCCAATAAATAAACGAGAATACTTGTTCAATTAAGGTAAGAAAACATTTTTTGAATATCAGAAAAGTACGAAACTAGCAAAACTGTAAAATATGTAAAACAAAACACACACCTTTATTTCTTTAAACAGAGATGTCAAGGCAGAAAAACATTAAATTAATTAGTTAAAAAGTAACTTGACATTGTCATTATTTACAAAATGCTTTGCAAATATAAAAAATTATATGACCATCAAAAATACAAGTGCACTTAACACTGACATGCAGAAGTAATATAATTTAATATATATGCACTGTACATTGATAGACACATAGTATTTGTCTTTAGAGGAGATTTTTTTCAGAAAATGCTTGATTATTTAAACAGAAACTGATGTTTTTACTGTTAGAACACATAAAAGCAACAGATTAACCAATAATGGGGCATAATACTATATGTATAAGGATATAATGTAGCATTAGTGGGTGGCCTTTAAGCCATTCATGATATTAAGTGTATAATATTAAACAATATGTAAAACATCTTAATTAAATTATATATTGACTTCCATTATAAAATCATTAATGGATGACAATGTTGATCAAAAATACACGCGCACTGTACATTGACAGAAGAGTACGTGAATTGTACATTGACACAGGTATATTAGTAATACAACTGCATTGTACATTGTTAGAGGTATGCTAGTAATACACCTGTATTGTACATTGTTAGAGGTATGCTAGTAATACACCTGTATTGTACATTGTTAGAGGTATGTTAGTAATACACCTGTATTGTACATTGTTAGAGGTATGCTAGTAATACACCTGTATTTAGTAATACACCTGTATTGTACATTCACAGAGGTATGCTAGTAATACACCTGTATTGTACATTAACAGAGGTATGTTAGTAATACACCTGTATTGTACATTGTCAGAGGTATGCTAGTAATACACTTGTATTGTACATTGTCAGAGGTATGCTAGTAATACACCTGTATTGTACATTGACAGAGGTCTGCTAGCAATACACTTGTATTGTACATTGTTAGTAATACAGGTATATGACATAGGTTTGTAATACAACTGTTTTGTACTGTATTGTTAGAGGCATGCTAGTCATACACCTGTATTGTACATTGTTAGAGGTATGCTAGTCGTACACCTGTATTGTACATTGTCAGAGGCATGCTAGTAATACACCTGTATTGTACATTGTATTGTACATTGTCAGAAGTATGCTAGTCGTACACCTGTATTGTACATTGACATAGGTATGCTAGTAATACACCTGTATTGTACATTGATAGAGGTATGTTAGTAATACACCTGTATTGTACATTTTCAGAGGCATGCTAGTAATACACTTGTATTGTACATTGTCAGAGGTATGCTAGTAATACACCTGTATTGTACCAGAGGTATTGTAATACACTTGTATTGAGGTAATACACCTGCTAGTAATACACCTGTGTTGTACATTGTTAGAGGTATATGTAACACACCTATATTGTACATTGACAGACGTTTGCTAGTAATATACCTGTATTGTACATTGTCAGAGGTATGTTAGTAATACACCTATATTGTACATCGACAGAGGTATGCTAGTAATACACCTGTATTGTACATTAACAGAGGTATGTTAGTAATACAACTCTATTGTACATTGACAAAGATATGCTAGTAATACAACTCTATTGTACATGGACAGAGGTATGCTAGTAATACACCTATATTGTACATTAAGAGAGGTATGTTAGTAATAAACCTCTCTTTATGGTGAAACTTAAAATAAAAGGTATGCTATGACCTGTATTAAATTGACATATTTTATATTGTACATTAATTGCTAGTAATATACCTGTATTGTACATTAACAGAGGTATGTTAGTAATACACCTATATTGTACATTTTTACAGCATAAATCATTAAAAATACAGAGGTATGTTAGTAATAAACCTGTATTGTACATTAACAGAGGTATGCTAGTAATACACCTGTATTGTACATTGAATGAGGTATGCTGGTAATACACCTGTATTGTACATTGTCAGAGGTATGCTAGTAATACACCTGTATTGTACATTAACAGAGGTATGTTAGTAATACACCTATATTGTACATTAACAGAGGTATGTTAGTAATAAACCTGTATTGTACATCGACAGAGGTATGCTAGTAATACACCTGTATTGTACATTAACAGAGGTATGTTAGTAATACACCTGTTTTGTATATTGTCAGAGGTATGCTAGTAATACACCTGTATTGCACATTGACTGAGGTATGCTAGTTATAAACCTGTATTGTACATTGACAGAGGTATGCTAGTAATACACCTATATTGTACATTGACAGACGTTTGCTAGTAATATACCTGTATTGTACATTAACAGAGGTATATTAGTAATACACCTGTATTGTACATTGTTAGAGGTATGCTAGTAATACACCTGTATTGTACATTGTTAGAGGTATGCTAGTAATACACCTGTATTGTACATTGACAGAGGTATGTTAGTAATACACCTATATTGTACATTAACAGAGGTATGTTAGTCATACATCTGTATTGCACATTGACTGAGGTATGCTAGTAATACACCTGTATTGCACATTGACTGAGGTATGCTAGTAATACAACGGTATTGTACATTGACAGAGGTATGTTAGTAATACACCTGTATTGTACATTGTTAGAGGTATGTTAGTAATACACCTGTATTGTACATTGATAGAGGTATGCTAGTAATACACCTGTATTGCACATTGACTGAGGTATGCTAGTAATACACCTGTATTGTACATTGACAGAGGTATGCTAGTAATACACCTGTATTGTACATTGACAGAGGTATGCTAGTAATACACCTGTATTGTACATTAACAGAGGTATGTTAGTAATAAACCTGTATTGTACATTAACAGAGGTATGCTAGTAATACACCTGTATTGTATATATTTGAGGTATGTTAGTAATACAACTGTATTGTACATTGACAGAGGTGTGTTAGTAATAAACCTGTATTGTTCATTGACAGAGGTCTGCTAGCCATACACCTGTATTGTACATTGTTAGAGGTATGCTAGTAATAAACCCGTATTGTACTTTAACAGAGGTATGTTAGTAATACACCGGTATTGTACATTGACAGAGGTATGCTAGTAATACAACTCTATTGTACATTGACAAAGGTATGCTAGTAATACAACTCTATTGTACATGGACAGAGGTATGTTAGTAATACACCTGTATTGTACATCGACAGAGGTATGCTAGTAATACACCTGTATTGTATATATTTGAGGTATGTTAGTAATACAACTGTATTGTACATTGACAGAGGTGTGTTAGTAATAAACCTGTATTGTTCATTGACAGAGGTCTGCTAGCCATACACCTGTATTGTACATTGTTAGAGGTATGCTAGTAATAAACCCGTATTGTACTTTAAAAGAGGTATGTTAGTAATACACCGGTATTGTACATTGACAGAGGTATGCAGTAATACAACTCTATTGTACATTGACAAAGGTATGCTAGTAATACAACTCTATTGTACATGGACAGAGGTATGTTAGTAATACTC